AAAAGTTAAAAATTTTGAAATAATAAGTAATTTAAATATAATATATTTGAAATTTTTATGTAATTGTAAAACTCCCTATCTAGCTAATTTTTAGAAAATACACTAAAAATATTAGCTAAAGGGAAAGTTTGGCATCAACTTATTTTTTCATTAACGCCTTGGATTGTTTTCCTGCTTCCATGGTTTCCAATTTTCTTCCTTCTTAGGGAAAGTAGTAAGTAATTGAAGTTCTTTGTTGGAAAATCCTTTGAAACTAGAATTAGCATGTAACCCACCTCGTACGGCAATGAATACCGATAGATTTGATGTGGTGTTTCATCCTCCACTTCCAATCCTTTCACATGCACTTCCAATTTCCATAAATACTCTCTAATTAATAAGATAGTTTACATTAATTCTTTTTGTTGAGGAATTCTATACATGAATTAAATGAAGCGTAGAAAGAGTTGTGAGTGAATTGAATGAAGGTTTGAAAGTTAAATATATAGTTTCAAACACTTGTACTCAATTTTACCTTTTCGAGTGTTTTATTTCATTTCTTTTCATCCTCATTCGTTAAATTTTGAGAAATTTGAGAGAGTTTTTGGCTTGGAGGTGTTGGAGGCAGGTTGAACGTTAAGGTTGAAGACAGGTGGTAGTGCTATGTTAGTGCTTCACATTGTCGTTGTAGTTTTTTAAAAATTCTATTTCGATGCATGAATTTATATTATTGGATTTGGATATGCGATAAAGAGTACATTGGATATTCATATTTGATGAAAAGACATTCGATGAAAAACATCAGATATCGACATCGGATGAAAAAAAAATCGACATTGTATTTACGTTTTTACAAGATTCTTTAAAATGTTTACGTGTTTATTTTCCATATCCGATGTTATGGGCTTATTTTTCATATCCGATACAACATTATGTGCTTATTTTTCATATTTGATGCATGTTTACGTTATTTGCTTTTTCATTATCCATTTATAACAACTTTTTAAAAAGTTTGTTTTATAAAAAATTAAATAAAACCAGTTGTTAACTTAATTGTAAAGATTGTTTACTAACATTTATATGCATTATTGAATATGTTTGTTTAGAATATAAATTATTTTATTTTAAAATGATTAATTTTTTTTGTTTCTTGACATATAAATGTAGATGAGAGGCGATATTTTAATATATAACATAAAATTAACTAAAACTTTATATATCTATATACATATATTCTATATACATATATTAAGATATTTATTTATTTTTAGTAATTATAATAGTGTATATATATAGTAAATAGTTAATTATTAAAACCAGTGTTTGTTATAATTATTTAATTTTGTTAATATCAAAAATGCATTTTAAATGTTTAATTTTTATATTATAAAAAATGCATATTTATAGTTATTTAAATTATTTTTAAGTTTATTATATTATTTATAATTTATTATATTAGTTTATGATTTTATAATTTAATTATTAATTTTTAATTTATTGTATTAGTTTTTATTTTGTTAAAAAATTTGTATATATTATAAAATTAAATAATATATTATTACAAACAAAAAAACTTAAATTTCTAAAAAATTATACAAATTTTAACTATTATTAAATAATTATAAACAAAAATATTTATTTGAAATTAAATTTAATTAACTCAAATTTTTATATAATATAAATTCATAATATTTCATTAAAAAGGAAAATATGTATGTGTGTAGAGAGAAAATAAGAAGGAGAAATGAAATTAAGAAGAGAAAGCTTCTGTACCTGAAGAGGAAGTGTAAGTGTTGGAGAGAAGAAAGCAAGCAATGAAATTAAGAGTGAAAGAAGGAGAGAAAAACCCTAAAACTGAACTGAAATTGTTTAAGAATCTTTGACCAGATTTTATTTTATTTTCTACAAATTAAATGTATTTTTAATTAGGGGTGAAATTGACATTTTCTTTAAGTTTGGAGGTGTAAGATGAAAGGGTTGGAGGTGCAAGGTGAAATACCCTCCATAAATTTTAGTCTTTGTACTTCATATTATATTGTTCTCAATAATAATTTTCATATAATCATTAGAGACATGAGAAGAAAAATTTCTTCCACCTCATATTAAGTGGTCGATATTCAAACTATAGTTTTCAGTGTGATTATAGTGTTAACATAATGTGTGTAGTAATATTGTAGTACGTGTAATAAATTTGTCTTTGTCTTTGTCGTGTCTATGTGTATATATTTTTAAATATTGTTATTATAATTTTTTAAATACAATTAATTTGATTTGTAAAGAGTAAAATGAAATACTAAAAGTGTTTAAAAGTAATAAATAATTAATAAAATCCAAAAGAAAAATGTGAGTTACAAAAGTATTGTCAAATGAAATATAAATAAATTTTAGTACTGTTATTACAATATTTTTTATCAGTGGTAAGGGACCACTTAACTTACTTATCTTATTTAATAGTATGGGACCACTTCATATTATATCTTGCTTCTTGTTGTATTCCATCTTTGCATTATGTCAAGTTAACTTTATTTATTCCAAGTTCAGATTTACAGATACTCTGCTTAGTCAATTTTAGCAGGCAAACTCTGCTTAGTTCAGATTTACAGATCCGGGAGATGGAAGTGGGTGAACCATGAGCAGTTGTTTATGATTAATTTAAATGAGTTGAATGCTAAAAATGCTACCTTTGTTTAATTCTTAAAAGTAAAAAGTGGAAGACAGCTGAAAAAATTAAGTGTTAACTATCTGTCATTGGTTGTTTAAAAATGTTTAGTGATGACTTAATGTCTTCTGTAAGCATGGAAAATTTCCTGAAGGTTGAAGGTTTTCAGCTAATATTAGTTAGGCGTGAAGGCTATGTAGTTTCTTAATGCCTACTTCTAGTTGTTTCATTTACTTAGAGAACTATCTTTGATTCTCCAAGGATTAATGTCTCCTTCTAGTTTCTTATGCTTCCCAATGTTTTCTTTATTAACATACAACAAAAGTCCAGTAACAGTGGTAGAATGTTAAAGGGAAAAAAAGTTAATCATCAAGTGGCAACACAAGTAAATTATTTGGAGAATTTAGTCAAGCAGAATTTGGAGACAAACTCAAGTCATTTTATTCAACCATAATTCTTAATTACAATTCATCTTCAACAAAAACATAATACAAAAGAAAATTGTTAACGTCCATGACAAAACAAACAACAACAACATCATTTTCCTAACTTTCTTCTCTTGTTCTAATTTCCTTTTCAGCTTGTCGTTCTTCTTCCTTAGATCCAGTACAAGTTTTTCATTTTCCAAACACATTTCAAGTTCTTCACGTTTTCTTTCAAAGCTTCATTCAATTTCAGAAACTCCTTCATCATGTCATTCAAAGTAATTACAACTTGAATTACTCTGCAATCAAAATAACACACGATTAATACAAAATTCAGCACATGAACTGAAAGATTTAATCACTTACTGCCCAATTTCTACATCTATAAAACATTCTTCCTTTGTTATTCACAGTAGTTGACTTCAAAAGCAACAATGTTTCACCACAACCACACAATTTAGATGGTAAACGTGAAGATGATACACAACTTTGCAACTTTCACGAACCAATTGACCTTCGCATCCAACCATTTCCTCCACTCTCACCTTTCATTTCACTACAACAAAGAAATCCCTTCATCAGCTTTCGTGCCCACCCAAACCCTATATCCCTAATCCTTATATTCTTTTATAATACTTAATAATATAATACTTTTTATTATTTTAAAATACATTACAAATTTCAGTTTCTTCCCTCTTTTCTTTATTCAATAACTTATTAGCAAATATTAATAAAATATTCAATTAAATTTTATCATTTAAAATTTATATGATACATAAATAATTTATAACAAAAAAAATGAGAAATATTAACAAATAATTTATTAATAATTTAATAAATTCCTATTTTACATTGTCTAATAAAATAAAATATTTAACAAAATAATTAACATCAAATAATTTTTTTAAGAGAAATCCTCGCATTGCATGGTATAGATATTAGTTAATGAAATAATTAGAGGTGCCATAAAATCATAAATAATTCACTTAAATATTACTTTAGTTAATATAATTATGTACTTTTATTCATAGGAATTATAACAAGTATTTCAAACATTATCACTGAATTATATGATAATAATTAAGCCCCCACATTGCATGGTATAGATATTAGTTAATGAAACAATTAGAGGTGTCATACAAATCATAAATATTTCACTTAAATATTACTTTTATTAACATAATTGTGTACTTTTATTCATTAGGAATTATATTATTTCATACATTATCACTCAATTATATAATAATAATTATATATTGAAAGAAATCCTATCATTATTATCAAATATACAAGTATATTACCAATTCATGTATAATTTAATTATTTAATTGGTCTATTTTATCAAAACATATAATCATTTCAATAACTTTGATTGCTTATACTAAATAATCTTAAGAATTAAATAAAATTTAGATGATAAAAAAACTAATATACATGTGACATCTTTTCATGCAGTGATTTTTTACAAATTGTAAATGTTAACATACATTTCTGAAAAATAAAATATAAATTGCACATTCATATTTTTCAGTTATTGATAAATAAAAAAATTGTTTTTACTAGATTTAAGGACTAATGTTAATTTTTTATAATATTTAAAATTAATATTCTGAATATCTTGAATATATTTAATCTTTTAAAAGTAATAAACCCATGTACCCATTTATTCAAATAGTATCTTAACTGAATAGTGGACATGAAACTTAAGAAAATGGTCAAAAGGAGTGATCGCTCTCGGCCCGGCCCGCAAAAGCCCATATGTTAACATAGTAAGAAAAGAAACTGAAACCCTAACAATTGGCCTATAAATACGACAATCCCTTGTGTAATCTTACGATCAACCACCGAAGCCTCTTTTCCCAAACACCCTTGTTTGTAATACCTTCTCCTCCTTCTGCAGCTCTTTCGTAAATTTGATTTGTTGTGTTTCTCGTCTGGGCAAAGATGAAGAGTGCTTGATTATTCTGACACCTCTTGTATGAGACGGATCTTTGTTAAAGGTTTCGTCTTTGAGCACAGAAAGCAACTCTCTGAGTCCAACAACATTAGGGTTGATATGTTCATTTACTATTTCAATTATTTCTTTAATTTCAATTCTATTCAATTAGAGATTATGCCTAATATTGCAATTCTTTGCACGTCGATTTGGTATGTCAATGAATCTATCGTTAGGCTATATTAAAATTATTTTAATCGACATGTATATACTTAATATACGTGTTGTCTATCTTTAGCTCCGAGTATCCTTATTTCTTGATAGGATTTCTTGGTGACAAGATAGATAAATATCTTTTGAGAATTTGAATAATTCATTATTTGTTTAATTTATTTTTAATTTTTAATTGACTTTTAAATTTATCTTTGGGTTTTGAACATGTGATGTTGAATGATGATAAAATCAGACGGATTCCCACTGATTTTGTATGTGATTTAACAACCAGCTACTACTGACAACATTATGTTCAAACACATTGCTTTGTATTTTATTTGATTAAATTTATGCTATTAATTGGTTATACACATTGGATTGTTATATTCTTAGATATATTTTATAATGTATTTTACTTTTTATTTTATGATAGCCCGTGATGTTAGAAAATATTTGCTACTCTTGATGGGATCACCCATTTGATGATTTTTATCCACCAAGATCTCTGAGGCTCGTACTTCAAACAATATGCAGATATTTATAAAGTGTATTTTGTATTGTTATTTGAATTTTTTGTATAGCTTTGACAATGTGACAAACGGTCTGCAACATTAACATAAGGAATGCTTCTCTATCTGGTCTGTGTGGATTTGTTCTGTTCCCATATGACTCGTTCCCTTGAAGCTAAATATATCGTGTTGCTTTTCTAAATGTCGATCCCTGGATCTGTTCCCTCTGATACTTTGGGATATTAGTGAAGCAGCTAAATTTTTGTTGATCACATTTTGATAGACTGTTATTTATGTGTTTTATTTCTATTATGTATCACATGCTTGTGTGCCGTATTATTTCTCTAATTGTTTGTCTACAATGTTTTGCTTTTCAAGTTACACTTACATTTAATGTTGCAGGTTGAGTATGGTTTTTGTCATTCTTTTTATTTGAATTTTGTTTGATGTAATGAGCGTGACCTATGTTTAATGTTTCAAAACATATTAATGTTGTTTATAAGCCTTATGTTAGAGTGAAGTTTTGTACTTAATAGATTAGTTATTGTTTAAGGGTTATATATCCTGTAGGCTCTCATTTCTCTGTATTGTCAATACTAAACATACCAATGTATTTTAGTCTTCTGTCCTCCGTAGGCTCTCATTTCTCTGTATTGTGAAATTTGAAAGAGAACAAATGTAATTTTCCTTTACTTCATATTTCACAAGTTATATACAAAGTATATCCTTGAGAAAAATCTAATGTAATTTTCGTGGCGGAGAAATCACCATATTTTGAAGTTCTGCACAATTTTATTGAAAGGTTTTAATCATAAATCACCCTTTGCACAAACATTGTGCGGTTACAATTTCCAATTCATTCTGGTTTTAGTAATAATTCTAAAGTGGGGTGAGGAATGAATATATTTTTACTTGGACTTAAAAAGTTCTTCGTGTTTGAAGAAAATTGTTATTGAAAAATGTATGACATGGAAACCGAAATTAAAGATGAGAGTTGAAAATATCGCTTTTAAGTTTTTTTTGCCATCAAATTCTGGTACTATATTTTTTATTTTAATTTATCACGCTGTAATTACATATAGGAATTTCTTTTATTCCTTATGACTTCTTTCTTTTTAAAATTTATACAATTTATGCTTTCAAAAAAAATTCTTAAATTTTTATACAATCATTTTTTAAATATTCTTTATTTTGAGACCTTTATCAATGATTTATTTAATGAATTAAACTAATGTTCTAATTTCCTTTTCTCCTTAAAATTCGTTTATTTATTTTTCATTTTATATAAAACTATTTGAAAAGGAATGTTAGCACAGTTTATTTTTATTGTTAAAATTTTATTCGTATAGTTTAGTTTTTTAAAA